ACTTGCAGCTTATTGCATATACTGGGGAACTTTGGTTCATTCGTTATACCAGTGCTTTGTTGTCCTAGACCTAAAGCTACCAAGCCTTTGTTCTGGGCAACTGCCTTTTGTACTTACTAGAATAAAAGGCAATACAGAACAACAGTTGCTTATCCCATGCCTATTGTATGTATGCACCCATGGAGTATCTTTTCTCCTAGTATACTACCAGTTATTGCCCTATAGGTGGGGAACATTTGCAGCCATGGCTAAGAGTGGTGTTTTTATACAGTACCAAAATTTGTGCCGGGTGCTAGGTATCCGAGTGGAATGCTTCTTCCCTGCCCTCCAGAAATAGGGGTTTTCTTATCAACTGTGCTTCCCTCTTTTGGAGCTGAAAGGCTCTTTACTGGCTTGCTTATCTACTATGTTGCACAAGGAAACATTTTTCTTTAAAAGAATGTCTGTCTGCAGCAGATTTGGGTTGTGTTCCCCTAAGCCAGAGCTGCATGCATTTCAGTATAGGTAAGAGTGAAGACTTGGGGTAAACGTCCCAGCAGACCACTTGTATTTAAACCTTGGACGTCTGTTTTCTACTCCTCTCACTACTGCCCACCTGAGTTAGAGCTATCCTCTATTAGCAGCTACAGACAAATATTTTTATGGGTCTCGTGAAAACTGCCTTGCTCTTCCCACTGTAATGTGGACCTGTGGGCCAGATGAGTGGCCAGGGCTGGTCCGTGGGCTGGACTGCCCCCCCCCTGCAACTGCACCAGGATCAGGCCCCAAGTGCCCTTGCCTTAGCTGGGTCCCATACTGGGAGCAGGCCCTGCCCAACAGCGCTTGGGGTGGGGGGCATGCTACCTGGCCCATCCCAATCTAGGCCTTTTTCTGTAATGGCTCTCTAGAACTAGGCAGCTGGCTTGAGTTGAGTGGTCAGACAGTCTACAATCTCACAAAATGGCAACAAAGGAAAAGTCCGTGAGACGCTTGTTTTTATGGAGAGAGGTATTGCTGCTCCTTGTGGGAAGGGTTCCTGATACCTGACAGAGGAAGTTTTAAAATAGCAAAAGTGGGTTATGCTGCTGACCAGACTGAGGAATCATTTCTCCCAAACTTTTAGCTGGAAGAGCAAGTAGATTCTGCAGCAGTACAATCTGACCCATTTCAAATATCAGTAATTAATTGAATCTGAAAAAAAATCTTAAAATTCTTTCTTTAAAAATGTGTGTTGAGTTGATTAACAGTGAGGCTAAATGCTGAAGCTAACTGCCCTTATGCTTAAAGTTAATATGAACATCGTGCTCCCTGGGCTTCCTTTGTTGTGGGACAATTATGATTTTTTTGAGATCCTGAAGCCGTCTTAACTTCTGCATTTGTGGTTAGTGACACCTTGTAGCACCTTTTTTAAACGTACAGATGCCACTTTCCAGACATCATATAGTACATGCTTTTTGTTACCTTCAGGCCCATTGTGTGATTCACTTTAGTTTTAGATGCCCCTGAAACTTGCCTTGCAAGGTTATTAGAAGGGAGAGTGGCACAATCGCATCAATGTAGCCGTTATCCACTAGCGTGGCAATTTTTTTATAATAATTTCCAAAGATTGTTCAAAAGTGCTGCTTACTTTCTACACGTGTGTATACATGTGTGTGAAACCATTGCTCTGCCCCTTACTGACAGTTGGTAACAGTCTGTCAGGTTTGTGTTGTCAGTTCCTGATTTTAAAACTCATGTTATTTGTGAACTGTCTTCACTTCCTTTGGTGGCTTGTCAAAGCCAGAGTCGGACACCTCCTAGGATACCGAAAAAGACAGGTTTCCCTTGTTTCATTTTTTTATCAACTCCTGAGTAATTAAGCAACAAAACAAGCCTGTTAAGTGTGCAGCCTGTATTTAATATTTTTTGTTGAATGTTTTCTAAATTAGTGGTGCACTCAACAGTACAGCCCAAGCCCCATACATAAACTCTCAATATCTATGTAGCCTCTTCTAAGGAAGTCAAAAAGGGTGTTGGTTTTTTGGATTTTTTTTATATGGCATCCTTTCTGCTTGATACGATTTTGAACCCAGTGTTTTCAGTGCTGCATTTACTGTTCCTTTCTCTTGCAGTACTATTGCTTGCCCCAAAGCTAAGAAATGTGGTATCTTGCACTCTAAACAGGAGAACAAAGCTGACTGGCTTGGTTTCAAATGTATTTGGTATTACCATTTGCTGTGTCCTTGGGCTTCCTGAAAGTACAAATGGATAAAAAGAAGCAACACTTTGTCAGGTACTGGAACAGTAGAACTGTAAATAGATCTCATGGCAGGTTCCTGTGTTTAGACACTTGCAGCAGTCTCACCAGTAAGTGAGAGGGGCATTCCCCTCCAGGTATCTAAGAACCTGCTCATTTCTACCTCGTCCATCACTTTGTATATGGCTTTGCACTAGCAGATTTTAGGTGTTTTTTGCAAAGGGGATGAATATAATTTATTCCCGCTTTTCAACTGAAAAAGAGGGCTAGAGAGGTGAAGCAAGTTGCCCAACATGGCAGTGACAGATCCAGAATCTTCCGAGTCCTCTGACTACCCTCCCTTTTGTGTTAGCCAAATAGCCTCAAATTAGGTTTAAGAATAACAATTCATGCCTTGTGAAAGACTGTTGAGCAGGGCTTTGGGCTGTGGTTTTGGGTAACGATCCACAGTATGGAGCCTACATCAAGATTTCACTCTAGAGAGCACCTCCTCGATGCAGCACCTGTCCCTGCCCTTCCTTATTTTCCATCATCCCAGCTTTCACTAGCCTGTTGATAATCACCATGGTCTTAGGCTGTAGGTTCATAAACAAATTGGAAACTTGTCTGTAGAACTTCATGCATCTTGGGGATGACCTCTGTCTCTTCCTGAGCACTATTAACCAAGTACTTCTCTTTCTAGGCGTGCTTCCAAGTATCTGTGTGTTAAAGGCCTTGTTTGGGTTGGGAATTGATTCTGATACGGCAGAGGAGACTAACGGGCCCTGGCTGTGAAGGATGGATGCAAGATGCTCTCAGAGGAGGAATGACACGTACTGTGCTTGCTCTAAACACCATCTCTTCTTTGAGGCAGATAATCATGGATTCCTTTGCTACCACCTCAAATGCCATGCCTGCCTAGGTCAAGGTTGCCATCCTGCAGATCATGATACTAGGTTAATATTATCCAAGGATTTGCTTGAGGTAAAAGGAGCCTGGAAGAAATGTTCTCTGTCATTGGGGCCATACCGCTGGGAGACAGTACGCTGATTGTCACTTGGGTTACTGTCAATACAGCCGAGCACAGAGGTCTGGCTGTAGTTGCTATGGGAAGTTCACAGCACCTCAGAAGTGTCGGGGCTTTCTCTGATTAAATTAACTAATTCCTTATTACATGGCTGACCCTAGATTAAATTTATTTTGTGCTACAGTGTGCATGCCTGACTTAAATGGACTTTACAGATACTCGATCCTCTTTCATCTCCAGCTTCTGTGATTAAGTGTGCAACAATCCTGGCTGTGGTCTGGTTTCATCACGTTCATGTGTCCTGGAGTAAAAAGGGGAAGGAGGGAGGGAGGTACTGTTTGGTTTTAGCGAGACTTGAAAATACTTCAGATTCCTTCCGGCCAAGGACATCATAGAAAGTTATGCCTTAATGTCTTGTGTAACAAGACCTTGTCTGTCTGTCTTTGAAGGGAAAAGCCCCCCCCCCCCCCCCAAAACAA